AAATTATTATCTCCAAAGAGGGTTTTGTGGAGAATAAGAAAAATGATATATATAATTGACAGTGAATTTTGAACATGCCTAAAATAATCAAATCGTTTAAACAGAGATATGTCAGAGAGGAAGGCTCTTAACTGTTCGGGCAAAGCCTCACAGCAGGTGTTGACTTGGGAAGAGTCCTCAATGTCTAGGGGTAGTTTTTGTTAAGTCTTCAGTGGTACCTGCACATCCTAAAGGTAACACACGCTCATTTATAAGAGATGACCAAATAAACCAAATTGCTATTCTTAGGGGAGGGAGAGACTTCCAATCCAAAACTCTTAAATGGAATAAATTGGTGGTTTGGTTTCTTCTGCAGCATTGCGTATTTCTGGAGCATTATCTTTAGAATTTCTCTGCAGTTTCTGTTTCTCACCTGATTGTATACCACCTTGATCATTGTTATACTTCATTAGGGAACAGTTCATGGATTCCGAATAGCCAGATGGATGATTCCTGTTGTACACATACTGCATCTAGCCAGTACTGCACACACTTGTTGACTTGTTAAAATTAAACAAAATGTATGAACTTTGAAAATGTGTTTGCTCATATGAGCCTGCCTCTTCAGACATTGTTGGTTCCTGTTATTAGTTATGTGTGTATCTGTTGATTTGTTATTATCAGTGGACAACATCCCGAAAAGTTCTTGAGGAATAAGATTCCAATCAAAAGAATGGTACTTTGAGCTATTTACCTTAAATATAGAATTGCACGTGGCAGAACTAAGCAGAAGGGAATACAGAAATACAAAACTATGAATTACAAGCCTGACATCTCTTTTTATAGGGCTGTGAACAATTCAAATTATGGTTGGAGAGCCCTGAGACTATTAGCACGGAGAAGCCCTCACTTCTTCCAGCCAACCAACCAGCAGTTTAAAAGTTTACCAGAATATCTTGAAAACATGGTAATAAAGCTAGCCAAGGAATTACCGGTAAGTACCATAGATCAACTTTTCATGCCCTTTAGTTGACATCATCTTTAAAACTGCTATCACTATGTGAGCAAAAAACTGACTTAATCATGTGAAAAACCAGTGGTCCACAAGCTCCCATGTTTTAGAATGAGGGAAAAACACACTGGAATATACATTTACAGGAAATACATGAGTTGATAAAGAAGTAACTGATAATTTTCTGTACAGCATGTAATTTAACTAAGGTTCAACAGGGCTGGGCGCGGTGGCTCACGCCTGTAATCCCGGCACTTTGGGAGGCCTAGGCAGGCAGATCATGAGGTCAGGAGATTGAGACCATCCTGGCCAACATGGTGAAACCCCATCTCTACTAAAATATAAAAAATTAGCCAGGCGTGGTGGCAGGTGCCTGTAGTCCCAGCTGCTGAAGAGGCTGAGGCAAGGGAATTGCTTGAACCCAGGAGGCAGAGGTTGCAGTGAGCCAAGATTGTGCCACTGCCCTCCAGCCTGGCGACAGAGCAAGACTCCATCTCAAAAAAGTATATAAAATTCATGGTACTTTAGGTAAACTGTTATGCACCTATACACACAGACAGGAATTTTTTCCTGTTTGCCAATGCAGTATATTGTCTTTTATCAAAGGTAAAAGATAAGAATCAGAAACTTTTAAGGACACTGTTGCTACTGGCTTCCTTGAGGCCATCTTTACTAAACCCTGGGTATTTGCAAATCCTGGAACTGTGCTTTTCACGGCCTTCCTGCTTCCCAGATTGGGGGTGGGGAGTCTTTCCAACTCTGGGGTCTTACCAAGTTCACTCCTTCTGCATGTGAAGACAGTCCCACTTAGGATCCTTACCTGACACTGTCTAACGCTCTCAGGGGTGAGGTTCTGGCACCCTGTACTTGGAATCTCACAATCATCTTTATCTAAACAAAGTACTTGTTACCGTACTTCAGAGGCTGGCATTCTTTCAAACATTCTTCTTTCTCATTTTTAGCCTCCTTCTGAAGAAATAAAAACAGGTGAGGATGAAGATGAGGAAGATAATGATGCTTTACTGAAGGAAAATGAAAGTAAGAATTTAATTTTCTTGGTTATTTAACAAAATTGAAGAAGATTGGGGTTCTTTGTTGATAGGTACATTATTTAATCGGCTTCTCAACTTCTCCCATTTTATCTCAACTGTTTCTGACTTACAGTGAGGAATGTAAAACATTGCTTAATAATAACTTTAAAAATACTACATTTTATGCAATAAAATTGGGGAGTAATGATACTTTAAAAGGGAAGGAAAATACATTTGAAGGTGACCCATACCTTTGTTAATTATTGGTTACTGGAAGGGGAGCAGTTCATTTCAGGGAAAGCCTACATAATTTTAACAGAGGTAACAGCTTTAGCTTTGATTGTTGACCATGCTTATTAAGAGTGGTATTCAGCTTATGGAGAATATAAAAAATAATTGTTTGCTTTTAAAATAAAGTCTACTAAAGGTGGTTAATAAAACTCATTGGCCCCATAGCTTTCCATTTCTGTTGTATACTTAGAATTGCACATAATTTATATTCTCTCCGTTTTCTAGGTCCTGATGTTCGGCGAGACAAACCTGTAACAGGAGAACAAATAGAGGTATTTGCCAACAAGCTGGGTGAACAATGGAAGATTCTGGCTCCCTACTTGGAAATGAAAGACTCAGAAATTAGGCAGATTGAGTGTGACAGTGAAGACATGAAGATGAGAGCTAAGCAGCTCCTGGTTGCCTGGCAAGATCAAGAGGGAGTTCATGCAACACCTGAGAATCTGATTAATGCACTGAATAAGTCTGGATTAAGTGACCTTGCAGAAAGTCTAACTAATGACAATGAGACAAATAGTTAGCTTCTTTTTTTTCTTTTTATTAAAACTGTGATAGATTTTGTTACCAAGCAGCATTTGATAAGAGGTCCACTGGTTTTGGTAAACAATAAACATTTTTATAACAATTGTTGTACAGTCGGCTGGTGCTCTAAGAACAATAGAACACATATTGGCTCAAACCAGAGTTTGGGGAGGTTGGGAGGAGGGTGGGTTGAGATAATGACCTAAACGAAGTGACCCTCACAAAATCTATTTTTGTTAAGTAGATGTATTTATAATGAAGTTAAATAAGCATTATTTAGGGATATGTTGTTTCCTATACCAAATTAGTTTCCTGTGTGCTGTTAGTAGTTACAAAATTTAGCTATCCTGGAATCCCAGAATAACACTTTCTGAAACCATATGACTGCTCTGTTCTTATTCGTGCTTTCAAGCAGAGGATCAACAAATGATGGTTTGTTCTGCCTGCCACGAGTCTTGATCGTTAAAATTGTACTGGCACCCAGCTGTGCTCACTCGTAACTGTCTATGGCTCCAGCTACACTATAACAGCAAAGGTAAGGAGCTGCAACACTTCATAGCCTGCAAAGCCTGAAATAATTTACTATCTATCTTGTCCATTACAGAAAATGTTTGCCAACTTTAAAAGAAATGAAGTCTGAAACCTCACTTTTCCTTCTAGCCTTACAAAAATTGCCTGACCTCTCAAGACTTTTAATCACTTCAGGGATTCTTGTGACATTCAAATGAGATGTATGTGAAAGCACCCTATACACAGCAAAGCACTAAGTAGTAGTAGCAGAAGACAGTACCACCGCCTTTTCCTGTTCCCATTTCCCTTTAGGGCTCTAAGATGAGGTCATCATTGTTTTTAATCCTGAAGAAGGGCTACTGAGTGCAGATTATTCTGTAAATGTGCTTACTTGGGCCTAACTTCTAGCTAGTCAAGCAGTGATCTAGCACGGCTCTAATGCTGAGATGGCCTCGGTGTGAGTGGCACAGCATATAAGGCACATTCAGAAATCAAGACTTTTTTTTTTTGCTGCCTATTCTCCCTTCTCAAAGACCTTACAGGCAAGGCTGAATTCTAAAATAGCCTTATTAGTTTAAAACGACACTGGTATAACTCCCATTTCTACTTGAAAAAATTCTTTGGAATAATGCTTTTGTAGATCAAATAAAATGAAATCAAACTTTTTATAATAAGGAATTACAATTTTTTAAATTCTAATCTATTCCATACAAGGCTTATATACTTTGCTCTAAACCTAGCTCACCTGGTCTAGTAGCTACAGCATCTAGTAGCTACAGTCAGAAAATCTAAATTCTAATTGTTAAATTCATGTCCTCAATAAAATTGTTCTGACTGAATGAGATAATGAATAAAAAAGACTGCAAAGTTATAAGCATCATACAAATATACATGAATCATTATAATTCTTATGGTCTCCTCCTCCCCATTGTATTCTTAATCCCCTCCACGAAGTAGAAAGTATTGATTGCCAAGTCAAAGTTTAGGTGAGGAAGCTATTTACAAATAAGTTTCCCTGCAATGCTTATTTTATCCCCCCTAGTGTTCACAGATTACATCACATCAGATTTGAAAGTAAAATGGCTGTTTTCTATTTTTAATAGTTATCAGTGTTGTGCTCTGCAGAGCATTCAAACAACATACACAAAGAAAGATATGAGATGTTATGATAATCCCCAAACTTTATTATAAATAACTCAAAATTAGAGCCAAACTGGCTGGTATTCTATGCTTTATCCTTTCCCTAGCAATCAGCCAAGGGTCCTGGAACAAAGATGAGTAACTAATGTATTAAAATGTAAGAAGCCTATCATATTGAAATACCTCATATGCTTGGTATTTTCTACTATCACCTTAAAATCACTAAAATTCTGAAATAGACATTAAGATTTGGGGATTTTTTTTTTTTTGGAGAGAGTCTCTCTGTCACCCAGGCTACAGTGCAGTGGTGTGATCTCAGCTCACTGCAACTTCTGCCTTCCAGGTTCAAGCAATTCTCCGACCTCAGCCTCCCAAGTAGCTGGGATTACAGGTGTGCACCACCACGCCCGGCTAATTTTTGTATTATTAGTAGAGACAGGGTTTCACCATGTGGCCAGGCTGGTCTCAATCTCAGCCTCAAGTGATCCACCTGCCTTGGCCTCCCAAAGTGCTGGGATTATAGGTGTGAGCCACCACGCCCAGCCAAAGTTTGGGGAATTAGGAAATACAAACACCAACTGAGCCAAGGAACAAATCTGACTGATAACATCACTGCATTTGGCATCCAAAGAAATCCATTACTTTTACAACTTTGTATTATTTCTTTGTAAAATACAGGCAGGCAAAGAAGATAACAAATATTTTCAAATGGATGCTTGACAGCACAGTGTTAATAACCATCTTCAGAAACTGTACAGCATTAAACATATCTGAATCTTCAGCCAAGCTCCAACACTCAGAAGACAAAAGACTTGAGGTCAAAAGCTATTAATCCCCCTTTTTTTATTATTATTAAATGTCCTCATTTTCTAAAAGTAAGCAACCAGAGCTTGTCAACATTTTCTTAAGATTGATTATTACAAAGCCATTCCAAAGTTAAATGTACAATCCACAGTACATCAGAGAGAGACACAATAATAAATGTATAATCAAATGTACTATTACTGATCACAATTTATTTTAAAGTCATGAAAAGCCTGCAACAGGCTGGACAAATACTTGATTGTGCCCATGTTTCCATGGGATGGACAGCAGCACTGAGTTACACAATGAGAGCAAAACTTCCTTTTCCACCTTCCTGGAAAAATGTTTGTTAGATAAGGCAAAGGATGGGTGGCTATAGAATGGTGGTTTGAACCATGCAAGAACAACAAATAATAGGTAATAGGTGTGCAATAAACATCTGATTGCTGAATCTTGGGTGAAAAAGGCAGCAAGAAAAATGACCACAGAAAGAAATGGTTGAAAGGCATTTCAACTCAGAATTTTTAAAAATAATGCAAGAAATAATAAGCTTTTAAAAAATGTCTTTCTGCCACCCTTATACAGGGCAGCACAATCCAAAGATAATTTTCTCTTTTCTGTAATTTTTTAGGTTGATGCACAGAGTGGTCTGCTTCTGTCCTCTTGTTTCAAACGAGGGGAAACAGATAAAACCACCTATGTGTCTTCCTCTAAAGCTCTGGATTATAGAAATGATCAGCAAATAACATTTATTTTCACACCTAAGCATAAATAGCTAAAATGAAGACTACTATTCACTTTCCTCTTCCATTATTTCAACTCTGCGAGGCCCATAGAGTAGAACGTAAGCAATATGCCAGTCTCCACCACCAGAAAGCCGTAAGATATCTTCTGGTGTTACGATGCTGACTTTGTCATCATCAAACTTAATCCATTCATCTAAATAACAGGGAGAAGATGAATTAATGTTATGCAGGATTCTTCTCTGAGTTCCACTGCAAAAAAGGTATAGCGTCATCGGAGGCACAGCAGTGCTCCATTGGCCACACCAACAGTCCTCCAAATGCGGCCCGGTGACCACACAGGCTTAAGGGCACTGCAGGGGTTCCACCAGGTTACAACTACTTCAATGACACCACTACAGCACTGCTTGCCTTTTCCACCCTGCATTCTCTCAAGTGTGCTCTGGAATTTTCCAGAGGCTACATAATGTATGATAATGCAACAGACTGAATGCAAACACTAACAGGAGAACCCAGCTGCCTCCTATTTAAGCCAGACAACAGAAAGACATAAAAATGTAAATCAGTACCATTTCTCACTCACTTTGTTTTTACATTAATACGTAATGGGCTTATTACTATCATTTTTAAAACTAATTTTTTAAATTTCTCACTTTTAATTTTTAATACAGTAAATATTAAGAGGCAAACCTCATAAACCAAAGCTCTTTGGGGCTTCAAGAATGTGAAGTGGTTCTGAGACCCAAAGTTTGAAAACCACTGCTATAAAATAAATGAACTGTTAAAATAATACTGAACAGTTGAAAAAAGAATACTCATTACCTTGTTTCCTTTTCACCCATGATACATAATGACCTGAAGAACTAGACCTTCCCTGGTGTGTTAGTACTGCTTGTAAGTCATAGTATCCACAATTATTGGAGCCAATATCTAAAAAAAAGATGTAAATCCATTAATATTAGACAATGAATAGATATGTGCCTCCTCAAGCTAAGTAACAATCAATAACTCTAAAGTTCACATTAGGAAAGTATTATATTATCAGAATCCAATAAGATACTACTGTCCAAATCCCAGCACTTGAGGAGGCCAAGGTGGGCAGATCACAAGGTCAGGAGATCGAGACCATCCTGGCTAACACGGTAAAACTCCATCTCTACTAAAAATACAAAAAATTAGCCGGGCTTGGTGGCGGGCGCCTATAGTCCCAGCTACTCGGGAGGCTGAGACAGGAGAATGGCATGAACCCGGGAGGCGGAGCTTACAGTGAGCCGAGATCACTAGACTGCACTCCAGCCTGAGCAACAGAGTGAGACTCCATCTCAAAAAAAAAAAAAAACCAACAAGATACTATTGTGCAATCATAGTTACGGCTTCATAATTGATGTTTTAAGAAGTAACTTACTCATAAAACTGTATGCCAACAAGAGTAAATTTACTATATGTCATATTAAGGTAAATTGTTCAAGAAACCTGACATTTTGTTTGAAAAGGACATCAGAATAAGTAAATATGGGGTAAGACATAAATTTTACCTTAAAAAGACACACAGACAATAACTCAAAATGAAAATGTTACTTACCATCAGCAAAAGAAAAGGGTTCATACTTAACTTCTTTCTGGGGACTACTCTTTTTGTCACTCTGAGGAGAAAAAAATGTTTAAATGATGATTTTGGAAATAAAATTTGAATTCTCTGTAAGTGTTCAATTTCATAAATATTTACTGTCTACAGTGCAAAGCAGAGACAAAATAGTCTACCTTTCAAATTACTAAAATGATATAACTACAGTTAAAACTGTAAACCCAGCAGTCCTACACTTGAACAATATAAAATCTTGTTACAGTACAGTAGCAGACACCCTGAACATGATGACCAATTTTAAACCACTAAAGTGAGAGCATACCAGTGAATACAGCAGTACAGTTCAACAGTGCTCTAGGGCAGAAAAGGAAAACCCAATTTCCCAATGTTACCAAAATCCTATCAAACCACAGCGGTGGGGGGAAAAAACTACCTCTGTAACAAGAGAAGTTAAATTCCTGTAGTTTGCATTAAACCACCCGAGCCCTGCCCACTCGCCACGCCAGCACAAATAAACTGAAATATTTTTCAGCAAAGCCTTACCTATATTAAAGAGGCATGATTTAAATTAGACAAGGATTCTTAGTAGGAACTCACTGCTTCAAGTCATTTTAGCATGGAACATGAGAAAAATTTATCTAGGTATACAGCACAAAGTTCTTTAAAACTATAATGGTAATGAAGACAATGCCAGTAGCTTACAGGTAGCTGTGATGGCAAGAAGTCAAAGGATTCCACAACAAAAAATGGCAACTAGGTTAATCACATCTTTTTTATATAGAGAATGAAAACACCTACAGCAACCATTGAAAAAACTGTACAAAGCAGCACATTTAAAAACATTGTACAGGATACTAAAACACAGTTCAAGTAACCCACAAGAAGACAAAAAAAAAAAAAAAAAGCAAAACATCAAAAAAGCAGAATTAAACCCTAACGTCAATGATTGCACTAAATGTAAATAGTCTATACCTAAATCACATTTAAATTTAATATAATTTAGGCCAGGTACAGTGGCTCACGCCGAGGCGGGCAGATCACTTGAGGTCAGGAGCTCAAGACCAGCCTGGCCAACATGATGAAACCCTGTGTCTAATAAAAATACAAAAATTAGCCAGGCATGGTGGCAGTCGCCTGTAATCTCAGCTACTCGGGAGGCTGAGGCACAAGAATTGCTTGAACTCAGGAGGCAGAGGTTGCAGTGAGCCGAGATCGTACCTATGCACTCCAGCCTGGGCAACAGAGCAAGACTGTCTCAAATAAATAAATACATGTGATAGAATTTAAATCAAGTAAGTGTGCCCTCTCTCCACAATGGCATCAAACTAGAATCAACAGAAACATAACAGGAAAATTACTTAGGCCCTTCTAAATAATCCATGGTCAAAGAGCAAGTCTCGAGAAATTTTTAAAAATACAAAGAACAGAATGAAAATAATATATATCAAAATTCATAGGATATAGTGAAACCACTGCTGAAAGAGAAATTTATATCACAAGGCAAGCAGAATAAAGGAAATAAGAGCAGAAATCAATACAATTAAAAACAGAAAATAGAGAAAAATCCATGAAACAAAGCCAATTCTTTGACGAGATCAATAAAATTAATAATCCTCAAGCAAGGGGGACAAACACAAATTACAAATATCAGCAATGAAACGGGATGGATCTCACTCACTAAACATCCTACAGACATCAAAAGGGTAATAAATACTAGAAACAACTCTACATACAAATTTGATAAGCTTATGAAATGGATCAATTCTGGGAAAACAAATTACAGAAATAAATACAATATGAAATAGATCATTTGAACAGCCCTGTATCTATGAAGGAAATTAAATTTGAAATGTAAAAACTCCAATAGAAAAAAAATAAATAAAAATAAAATAAACAAATAAAAGCTCCTGAAAGTAAAATATCTAAGCATAGATTGTTCCACCAATTCTATGAAATGATCACCAATTCTATCAAATGTTTAAAAAAAATTAACACCAAATCTACATACTCTCTTCAAAACACTAACGGATAAAAACAGCTAATAAATTCAGCAAAGTCAAGGATTTAAGATCTATATACAAAAATTCATTTTATTTCTATACGCTAGCTTTACTAGCTACTCTAGACAATGAAATTAAGAAAGGAATGCCATTTACAAAAGCATCAAAAAGAATAAACTATTTAGGAATAAAATTAACCAAAAAAGTCCAAGGCTTGTACACTGAAAACTAAAAAACATTATGAAAAAAAATTAAAGACCTAAATGAATAGAAAGACACATGAAGTTTACGGATTGTAAGACTTAATACTTTTTATTTTTTGAGACAGAGTCTTACTCGGTCACCCAGACTGGAGTGCAGTGGTGCCATTTTGGCTCACTACGACCTCCGTTTCCCATGCTCAAGTGATCCTCCCACCTTAGCCTTCTGAACAGCTGGGACTACAGGCACACGCCACCAAGCCTGGCTAATTTTTGTATTTTTTGTAGAGACAGGGTTCCGCCATGTTGCCCAGGCTGGTCTCAAACTCCTGGGCTCAAGGAATCTGCCCACCTTGGCCTCCTAAAGTGCTGAGATTCATCTTAATACTATTAAGATGGTAATACTTTTTAATTGATCCACAGATTCAATGTAATCCCCATCAATCTTTTTTTAAGAAATGGATGAGCTGATCCTAAAATATACATGGAAATGCAAGGGACTCAGAATAGCTAAAATAACTTTCAAAAAGAAGAACAAAAGTGAAAGTTGATACTTCACAATTTCAAGCCTCATTAGAAGACTACAGTAATCAAGACAGTCTGGTATGAGCATTAGAACAGACATATAGACCAATGGAATAAAATTAATAGTCTAGAAATACAGCCATACATACAGATGGTCAAATTAATCTCTACAAAGGTTTCAAGACCATCTGATAGGCAAACAACAGTCTTCTTAAAAAATGGTGCTGAGACAACCAGATATTCACATGCGAAAGAATAAATCTGAACCCACACCTCACACTATATAAAAAGTTAACCCTCAATGGATCAAAGATCTACATGGAAGAACTAAAACCACAGAACTCTGAGAAAAAAAACACACATATAAATCTCTGAGGCCTTGAACTAGGCTTTTTTTTTTTTTTTTTGAGATGGAGTCTCGCTTTGTCACCCAGATTGGAGTGCAGTGGTGTGATCTCAGCTCACAACCTCTGCCTCCCAGGTTCAAGCGATTCTCCTGCCTCAGCCTCCCAAGTAGCTGGGATTATAGGTCCGCACCACCACACCCGGCTAATTTTTTGTATTTTTAGTAGAGACAGGGTTTCACCATGTTTGCAAGGCTGGTCTCAAACCCCTGACCTCAAATGATCTGCCTGCCTTGGCCTCTCAAAGTGCTGGGATTACAGGTGAGAGCCACCGAGCCGAGCCCGGCAATGCTTTCTCAGATATGACACCAATAGCACAGGCAACCAAATAAAAAAATAGACTGGATTTCATAAAAATTTACAAAACCTTTCCTCTGCAAAAGACCCTACGTTAAGAGGACGAAAACATAAGCTACAGGCTAGGAGAAAATATTCACAAACCACATATCCAACAAAGGTCTAGAATATGGAGAACTCTCAAAATTCAAGAGTAAAAAAACCAAACAGTCCAATTAGAAAATAGGGAAGGCCGGGCGCGGTGGCTCACGCCTGTAATCCCAGCACTTTGGGAGGCCGAGACAGGCGGATCACAAGGTCAGGAGATCGAGACCATGGTGAAACCCCGTCTCTACTAAAAATAGAAAAAATTAGCCGGGCGCAGTGGCGGGCGCCTGTAGTCCCAGCTACTCGGGAGGCTGAGGCAGGAGAATGGCGTGAACCCAGGAGGCGGAGCTTGCAGTGAGCCGAGATTGCGCCACTGCACTCCAGCTTGGGCAACAGAGCAAGACTCTGTCTCAAAAAAAAAAAAAAAAAAAAGAAAATAGGGAAAAGACAAGAAGAAGCATTTCACAAAAGAGGATATACAGATAGCAAACACATGAAGACATGCTCAACTTCATCAGTCACTAGGGAAGTGCAAAGGAAAACACAGTATCACTATAAACCTATCCAATGGCTGAAATGAAAAACAGTGACACCACCAAATGCTGGTGAGAATGCAGAGAAAGTGAATCGGTCACACCTTGCTGGTGGAAATGTGAAATGGTACAGCCACTCTAGAAAATAATTGGCAGTTTCTTGAAAAACTAAACATGCAACTACCACGCAATCTAACAATTGCATTCCTAGGCATTCATTCCAGAGAAATGGAACTTACGTTTACATTAAAACCTGTACACAAATGTTTACAGCAGGTTTATTCATCACAGACAAAAACTAGAAACAATCCAGGTGTTCTTCAACAGGTGAATGGTGAAGCCGATTGTGGTAAACTCAAACCAGGGAATACTGATCAGCAATGAAATGGAAGGAGCGACCAATATGCATTAACACCCTGGAAGAATCTCCAGAGAATTATGCTGAGTGAGAAAGGTTATATTAAAGAGTGGAAGAGTTTTTACTTCGTTTGTGTTTTTTTTTAGAAACAAGGTCTTGCTTTGTTATGCAGGTTGGAGTACTGTGGCACAATCATGGTTCATTACAGCATTTAACTCTTGGCCTAAAGCAATCCTCTCATCTCAGCCTCCCAAGTAGCTGGGACTACCTATGTATGCCACCACATCCAGCTGATTTTTTTAAATTTTCATATTTTGTAGAGACAGGGTTTCACTATGTTGCCCAGGACAGTCTCGAACTCCTGGCCTAAAGTGATCCTCCTGCCTCAGATTCTCAAAGTCCTGGGATTACTAGCGCTAGCCACCATGCCTGGCCAACTTTCTTGAAATGACAAAATTATAGAAATGAACAGGTTGGTAGTTGTCAGGAATTAAGGGTAGGGCAGAAGAAAAGTGGCTCTGTGGCAATTACGCAGGATCTTTGTGGTGATGGAAATGTACTGTATTTTGATTGTATCAAGGTCAACACTAGGTAAGGTTTTATGCGAAGTACTTTGAGGAGATAAGTATAAAAGGAGTATGAGCTACAGATTATGGGGGGAAAGAAAATATTAAGCTTATTCTACCACAAAGGACTCATTTACTCTAAGTAGAGTTCCTGTTTCTCATGCTAAAATACACCTAAAGGCCTCTCTGGGAGGCCTAGGCAGGCAGATCACCTGAGCTCAGGAGTTCAAGACCGGTCTGAGCAACATGGCAAAACCCTGTCTCTATCAAAAATACAAAAAATTAGCTGGGCATGGTGGTGCATGCCTTGGTCCCAGTTACTTGGGAGGGTGAGGTGGGAGGATCATTTGAGCCTGGGAGGTTGAGACTGCAGTGAACCTGGGTGACAAAAGGAGACACTGTCTCAAAAAAAAAAAAAAAAAAAAGGAAAATAAAACACATGCAAAACTTTAAAGACCTGCACCGATATATGGAGGATGTGTATACCTGCTAATTGTAATACAGATTCATCCATTTTTATTAATACTATACAAAGTATAGTTCTGAAGGAAAAATGAAGCAGGAAAAAAAAGAGAGTAATTGCTGAGCACTGATGGGAGATTAAGATACTAAGATTAGAAAGTCAGCAGTAAGAACCTACTGTATTTGGCTGCTGATTCACTTTTTTATCTTCTAGATCCTTGAATTTGGATCGAAAAGACACCATTTTCTCCTGAAGTTCTGGTGTACACAGTTCATACATATCCAACATAAGAGGAAATTTAACATCCTATATACAAACAAAAAACATGTGTAAACACATTTATAAAGATACTTAACGTATCACACATCTGAAGTAATGCTTTCGTAATTCAAATACAGTTGAAAATAAAAATCTGTGAAAATCACTTGGAAATCTGCAGTTGAAAACCTCTTAAGAATGCCTATTTTTAAGAATGATCTGGTTCTAACTTTTTTAAGGTGAGAAATTTTCAAAACATGTTTTTCCATTAAATACTCTAACCCACAAAACCAACCACAGAGGAAGCACCAAAATTTACCTGAAAGAAGAAACATCTCAGAAATACTAGACAAGCTGCTGTGAAAATAATGGATCTCCCAAACTGGAATAAACGTTTTTTTTTTTTTTAGTTTGAAATACAACTTTACATAGAAATAATAGTGATATAGTTCAATAGCTTATAGTAGTATATATTTAAAGTATACAACACTAGATACTTAAAGTACATTTAACCTTCTCTTCTCATACAATGCTAAGTATATTCGAAAATATACTAAGAATTTAAGCTCAAAAGGCTAAAATGATAGGCCCCTCCTGGGACTCTATGGAGATGTAGCAGAACTACAACTCAACAAAAACAGTTGGTTTCTGAGGCTGGATCCTAAATCAAGGGATTACAATTTAAGTACTCTTTGGGCACCAATGATTTTCTCCTTTCACCTGAAAGAAAGGAACCACCTAGAATATAGTGCAGAGTGTTATCACTCCCTACCTCAGGCCCTTCTCCAAGCTACTGAATCAGTATCCCTGAAGCTGAGGATGTGGTCTAGGGCACTATTTCTGCGTAGTGCAGGAGAGTCATCAGAATTATATGTGAATCTTTTGAAAAATATAATATCCTAGGCCCCACCAAAGACCCAGATGTTTGGGGGTGAGGGAGAAGCCAGGCGTGTGTACAATTAAATATAAAAAAAAATAGATCATTCTAATATACATTCATAGTTAAGAATCACCTGTCTAATATTAGTATCTCCCCTAAATATTTCAAAGAACCTAACTATTCCTAAAGGAATAATGAAAGCAATTGTAAGTTAGCAATTACCTTCAAAGAATTACATTTCTTATACAAAGTAAAGTTCATTACTAACCTTAAGAACTTTGGCATTCACAGATTCCTTCTCTTTATAAAAAAATCGAACCATCTGAATGGTCAAGTAAGCAGGTAGCCGGCTGATCTTGGACTAAGGAGAGAAAATGGAAAGAAATCCCATTACATCAAAATACCATACAAGTTTTAATTCTTCAGTGGTAAAAATTAAGACTGGATAAAATTAATTAACTGGAAATATTTCAATGAAGTAGAATTTGGCTTCGAAAGGAATGCATAACTTACAGATTTGATATACAAGGCATTTCTTTGCAATGTTGGAGACTGTTTGGTGATTTCTTCCTGAAGTCGCTAAAAAAGAACATAACAGAAGACCAAACATTAGTTTAAAAAATTTCTGCAATATAGAATCACACCACTAAGCCTTTTAAAAACTAGCACCACTTAATAGGCAATATACAGTATATCAATGGGTTTATACCACTGAAACACAATATGATGACAATATGGGAAGACTTCCAGATACTGTTCAATTCTTATAAGGCATCAAATAATTTACGCTGTTGTGGACTCCTCCTGAGTGTAAATACTGTTTGATGTTTTTTAGTTATGCCCCAAATGATGCTTAGATTCAGAGAATTTTATATTGTATTTTATATAACAAAGCTCTGTCATTCCTGTTTATTATCAGAATATTCACCCTAGAGGAAAATTAAGAGAACCCAGGAAACTCTTGTTCTTTACATTTTATGCATAAAAGCCAATAAGCACCGATCAATTATTGTTAAATTTGAAAACAGTCATAACACAGAAACCCTCTTTTAACCTAACAGATGTGGGAAAGCCTTTAGCTACTGCACATATCTTAACCAGCATGATCACCTTTCCACTTCTTACAGCCTGTGTAACAATGAAAACGGTATTTATCCCTCTGGGCATCATTTGGAAAAGGTGGTAGTGGTAATCTATGTTATAGTGCTATTGTTAGAATTACAGTCAGCACATGTAGAAAACCTGGTAAAATATTTGGCATATACTCTACATTTAACAGTCACTACTATTTCTTTTTTTTTTTTTTTTTTTTTTTTGAGGCGGAGTCTCGCTCTGTCGCCCAGGCTGGAGTGCAGTGGCGCGATCTCGGCTCACTGCAAGCTCCGCCTCCCGGGTTCCCGCCATTCTCCTGCCTCAGCCTCCCGAGTAGCTGGGACTACAGGCGCCGCCACCACGCCCGGCTAATTTTTTGGTATTTTTAGTGGAGACGGGGTTTCATTGTGTTAGCCAGGATGGTCTCGATCTCCTGACCTCGTGATCCGCCCGTCTCGGCCTCCCAAAGTGCTGGGATTACAGGCTTGAGCCACCGCGCCCGGCCCAGTCACTACTATTTCTAATGTTATAGAAAAAATTAGCACTATTTATGTGCTCTGCTTTAAGAAAATAAAGAAAAAAGAAATTAGAATTAAAATAACCTACTGGTAATGTTTAAGCATGTTACACTTGTATAATAATTTTTTAACATCTGATTTTTTAAAATTACTAATCATTACAAAAGGAATCACTGTGGAGTAGCTTTTTAAGTTTATTCAGCAGCAAAGCAGTAGAGAAACGAAGCCAAATTACTCAAGAATTATCAGAACAAAAGATAAAACATCTTAAAAGTTATAAAGGAAGTAAATACATTTTAGGAATACATGTTTTTCAAGAAAGTATATGTGGTGAAATCTTAATATTATCACCAATACACTATCATCTAGACCTTCTGGGTATGTTCGGTTTTCCTATACTTTTACAAAATTGTGAAGAAAATACCATTCCGGAGAGTCCCTCCCAAAGCACTCCACTCCACACTCTCCGATGAACACTGAGACTTCATTTGCTGGTAAATCCTGAAACTTGCACATCATGCCTTACATGGTTTGACTCCCGGGGGTTAAGTACTTTTGTGTTTTTAAATGAATTTCTCTTAACAGTCACCATGTTCTTATCCACGCTGCCTCAAAACTCTCCCCTCAGTATCATAAGACAGAACATGACTCACTCTCTCTTCTTATGTCCATTTACCAACCCTTCCCCTGCCAAACTTACCCCAAACTGTAGATGACAGCCCCCAGACAACAAATCATCTTGTTTATCAACATAATCCAGGTCCCGCTTCAGTGTTTATCAACCCAACCCCTCTGCCCAAACTAGGCCTCTGCTCTGCACAGAGGACCTATTCCAATGCCTCATCATTTTTCACTGACTTTTCTTCCTTCAAGACTTCTGGTTAGAGGAGACAGAAAAGAGGATCAACCAAAATTTTTAAATATTCTGCCCTCCAGGCCCTTCTTCAAATATCTAGATGCTGCAACAGCTCTTTTATTCATGATTTATTTTTCATACAACTGTGTTTAGGAAGAAGCTAACTTAAATTAAAATAAACAATCCTGGCTGGGCAGTGGCTCATGCCTGTAATCCCAGCACTTTGGGAGGCCGAGGCGGGCGGATCATGAGGTCAGGAGATTGAGACCATCCAGGCTAACATGGTGAAACCCTATCTCTACTAAAAATACCAAAAATTAGCCAGGCGTGGTGGCTATACTTGGTATTTTTGTATACCAAATATAGTCCCAGCTACTTGGGAGGCTAAAGCAGGAGAATCGCTTGAACCTGGGAGTCAGAGGTTGCAGTGAGCGAGATTGCGCCACTGTACTCCAGCCTGGGTGACAGAGAGAGACTCCATCTCAAAAAAAAAAGAAAAAAAAGAAAAAAAAAAAAGAAATAAAATAAAATAATCCTAATTATCAGAGATTTTGAAAGTGAAATCACATGAACTGCAATTTGAAAACTATTAAAAGATAGCACTTCAAATGGGGAGATCCTTCAAGAGATATACATGTCCCCAAAGCATACCAAATTAGTAAGTCAGCAAGCAAAACCATATGTTTTACCCATGGGCTTATCAGCAGAGTGGAAGCCAACATTTTATGTGAGTCTGCATTCTTTAGTATGGCACTGGAAAAGCAGCACTAACTGAATAACGAAAGAAGCGAGTTCTAGTTCTGGCTCTGCCAAAAGCCAGTTAGGTTATTTAAATTCCAGGGCCTCAACTGCAAGACAGTGCAATGGCAGAACAACTACATGCCCTGATTTGCACAAAAAAATCCCAGTTTACACTGCATAATTACTAACATACCCTCATTCACTCTCCACCAAAGTGTCCTAGTTTAGACAATACATTATATGATCACCCTTAATGGTTAAGAGCACAAATCCACAAACAACCCTATAGTTACTCTCATTTTCATGTAAGAAAACAGAAGCTTAGATTAAGTAATTTTCCTTAAAGTTAATAGTTCAACTAAGTTATTGGGCCCATGAAAACAACTAACTCTAAGGAAAAATTAAATCTTAACATGTATATTATTCAACAAACATTTCTTGAGTGCTTTAAAATAAAGCAAGGTACAGCACAAAGCACTAGGTGCTTCTTCAGTGTGAAGCAGGAACATCCAGTGATTAAAAAGTGAGATGTCCCAATATTTGTTAGCATATGCAACCATGTCAATAATGCTTTTGTTTATGAAATGAAAAGCTAGTTGAAGTTTGTTTGATTTCTGACTACACAGTTGATTTTGATAGTGACAATAATTATGTTCTACAAAGTCACCACAAGCACTGAATCAGTGAATACTGAACCACTGCTCCTAGGGGAAATACAGGATTAGATTCCGCCAACCTTTGATCACAAGATTTTCATCAACCAATCAATATATAACCTTGTTTTATGTGTGTTTCTGTTTAAAGACACCTTATTTCACATACTGTGTTGATTAAATAACATTGAACTCAGAGCCAACAGCACAACTCAGGCCCAACTGAAGCTTCTCTAACATGTGTATTTTCTCAGTAAGGCACATCACAGCCTTCCCACACTTAGAAACACTAGACAGCACTCAGTCCTATGCTTGGCGGGTCATCTTAAACAGTGAAATAACCAATAAAAAGCAGAAATTAAAAAAAAAAACCGGTGCTAACATTCCTGCTAAAATGGTATTTGTTTACCAAGCTGAAACAAGACGGCCAAGTACTTGTTTGACCTCAGATGAGACTGTGTGTATTGGGCAACTCAAAATGCATGTTGCTCTGCACATGTCTACAAATGACCATTAAAGCCCAGCGAATAATGACTTTGGCTTACTTGCGAATGTGGAATTCACAAACAACAAGGATGGACTGTGATTGTCCTTACCAATTTAAGTCCTGTAAAAAGATACTTGACTTCCTGATTGATAAAACAGCTAAGCTGAAGTTGATTTTCCTTTCCTTTGGTGACTTCTTCTTCTTCAGATTCTGTACATTTCATGCTTTGTAAACTAAGATAAGGAATATGCCAACGGGTATTCAATTTGTTATATACTCTTGAATATAATACATTATCCTAATTCCATTAAAATTAATAGTATCATTCATTGGCATTTAAAACATTTTAGTCTCCCAATAAAGATTCATTTCAACATACTTAAGAATGTTCATTTGGCTACCAACAATTCTATAAACAACAATGAGTAATAAATGTGTATTAAAAGATAAACTGCAATAAACTCTGAACTATAAACTGGTATTCAGTGTGGTCTTATAATGGTCTTAGAAGCCCAAAGGTACATAAACATAATTTTTTTCTAAGATTTTCTAACCATGACCTAGAAAACAGTACTTTCCTGATTCATGTTTTATTAACTGGTTCAATCTCATGTATATAGTTGATACACACCATTTTATACAATTAAAAAATTCTTTATTTTAAAAGTTATTATTAACAGTCACCTTGACATATAAGAAATTAATTCTTTATAAGGTGAATGAAAATGAGGTAGACTCTGCTAAAGATGTTCTTAGGAAAAAATAATAAATATCCTTCAAGAAATAAATTAGAATAATTATATTAATCAAAACATAATGAATAATCCCATTATCCTTCAAGGTCACTCCAATAGGTATACTTTTCCAAATTCCTCATTTCCATTACTGTATTTTTTTAGGCATAAAAACCTCTGGGCTGGGCGCAGTGGCTCACACCGGGAGGCCAAGGCGGGTAGATCACCTGAAGTCAGGAGTTCCATACTAGCCAGGCCAAGAGGGTGAAACCCCCTCTCTAATAAAAATACAAAAAATTAACTGGACATGGTGGCATGCGCCTGTAATCCCAGCTACTTGGGAGGCTGAGGCAGAATTGTTTGAACCCGGGAGGCAGAGGTTGCAGTGAGCCAAGATCGCACCATAGCACTCCAGCCTGGGCGACAAGAGCAAAACTCTGTCTCAAAAACGAACAAACAAAAAAAAACAAAAAAAAAAAACCTCTGAAGAATTTTTCTTCTACCCACCACCAATCAATCAGCCAATGATGCTATTTATGTCAATTCTAATAAGGTAGATAGTCTATACAAATCTTGGCTCATAAGGATACGTAGTTTCAAACTCAACACCGAAGAACTGATCAATTAAACTTTTCTTTTTAGAAGGTGTCGCTGCCGATGCAGATGAAGAGTCTGTCTGCAAAAAATTAAAATAAAAATTCCAACTTTATATAAATATTAATGTATATTTTCTTCCACACAATTCAGTTTAGTAATACATATTTAAGTTTTTAAAATATAGTCCCTTAATGTAAAATCCTTCAAAAAACATTACAAAAAATCACCAATGAATTAAGTTTAATAAATAATACATTAAATGTAAATGTCGTATGCAAGCTTCCAAATTCTGACTACAGATTGAGCATCTAAAGTATTTAAATACACATCTACCCATTAAGATGAACTTATTTTAAGCCTTTGCGGGGAAAAAAATTAAAAAAAGAATCAAGATATAATGAAAGTCTATAATCACAAATATATTTCAATTACTTCTTTAACAGAATCATCCTCTATGGCTTCCAATTTCTGTTGCAATACTCGCATCATTTGTATCCAACATTCATTAGCATCCTGTAATGTAAAAAAAGACAAAGTAAGTAATCCTGGCAGTGAATGATCTACAAAATTCTTCCAAAATAATCACTGTCTCCTAGGCAAGAGAGTGGTTTCCTTCTTTAAAAATATTAAGCCAAATAAGAGATATGATCTTCCAAAAAATAATTCTAGAATAGCTTATTCATTCAACAGACATCTGCTGAGCTCCAATTTGTGCTAAACACTGTACTAGATACTCAGCATAATAGCAGTGAAAATATAAAATTCAAGTAGAGATAAGGGTTATGAAGCGAAAAAAAAGCAGGATGGAAACAGTAAGTGATCAGGGGAAGGGAAGTGTCCTATTTCAACAAGGTCATCAGGGAAAGCCTGAGGCTTTGGTCTTGGAGCCTTGAGATCTGAAGGAGGTGAGAGAGCTGGTCTTGTACTCGTCTGACAGCCAAAGGAACAAGAGCAAAGGCCCTGCAGGAAGAGGGCACTTGAAGGGTTTAAGGAAGCCTGTGCAGCTGGAGAGGGGCAAGCAACTGGCAGAGTGGTAGTGATGAACTCAGAGAAAAAGCCAGGGGCTAGAGGATTTAGGACTGCGGTAGAAATCACTAGGGAGTACTGAACAAGGGGCCAACATAATCCTATCTTCATTTTAAAAAGGACACCATGGGTTGTGTAGAGAAACTGCAAAGGGGCAAAGGCAGAAGCCAGATGATCAGTTAAGACTACTGTTGAGGTTCCAGGCAAGAGACAGCCCTGGCATGAACTAGAGAAGACTGATGTTTATATTTCGAACTATGTTCCAATAAGTATGGTAAATGTAGGAAACCTAAGTTTTACATTTACAGAATGAAAAATACCTTGCCCTAATTACCTGTTGAAGATACTGTCCTTGTTCACCCTTCTCGGCAAACTGTGGGAAAGCCATGTGCAAAAACTGCAGTAGAATAATAGGTGGAATACTGGAAGAAGTTTTATCCATGGAATCAAACAAATCTCTAAGGGCTTAAAGACAAAGCAAACATTGCCTTAGTAAAATAGTCACATACTTAATACATGCGACTGTAAATTAATTTTAATTAATACAAACAAAAACCTACTTAATTTTTTTTTTTTTGAGACGGAGTCTAGCTCTATTCCCCAGGCTGGAGTGCAGCGGCACGATCTCGGCTCACTGCAACCTCCACCTTCTGGGTTCAAGCAATTCTCCTGCCTCAGCCTCCCGAGTGGCTGGGATTACAGGAGCATGCCACCATGCCTGGCTTAAAATTTTTGCATTTTTTTAAGTAGAGACAGGGTTTCACCATGTTGGCCAGGCTGGTCTCAAACTCCTGACCTTGTGATCTCCCCACTTCAGCCTGGGATTACAGGTGTGAGCCACCACACCCAGCCGCTTAAATATTTTTAAGTGTATCTACTCTGACAATTGTTGGACTCTCAACAAGAAAAAAAGAAATCATTTTTAAATCTTAAAGAATTCACCAGAAGACCTTACAAAGCAATCACTAGTTGTAAACAACTTCAGAGCCCTGCCTCTCTCTTTCTTCTTGCCAGCCTTTGTATTCCCAAACAAAGCAGGGTGTTTTAATTCAGTACAAAGAACACATAACCTCTGTGTAGGGACCAAACAGGCATAATGTAATCGTTCTGCTACTCTGCCAAGATCAGGATAGCAGGTCACCTCTCCCCACTTACCTCCCTTTAAATCTATAATTGGTTCTCATCTACTCAACTCCTGGAGATTTAAATCTGGGTCGTTAAACAGCTGACTCTACTGGACAGCTAAGAACCAAAACTACTAATAATTTACCTTCTTCAGAAAACCTTCTTTCCACTTAACCCCTCTCAGCAGCATGAATCTCACAGTCATGGACGAGTCTGCTCTCTTGGAGTTCGAACCATTTCTCCTCTGCTGACTTCCTAGTGATCATACCTTGCTCTGCTTCATGTACAGCAAAACTCTTCCTCTAGCTTACCTCAACTTGTATGTTTTATTAATACCCAAGATGTGAAATGTCACCTATCATTATTATACAGACTGAACCCACCAAATACCACAGCATCTTAGCACAAAGCAGGGGCTCAAAAAAATGTTACTGAATAACAAAACTGAACACAATGTTTAAAAAATATTTTTGGAGGGAAGGCTGAAATTTAGGCATCACTACTAAGCTAATTATTTTTTTAAATAAAAGCCTACATTTTAATAATACTTTATATACTACTCAAAAACAAACAGATGATTTAAGATCTAGTATATAACATCAACAGAGCATCTCAAAAGTATTTCATCAGTTTAAAAGAAAAAGGTCAAGAAGAAATGTAGATTAAAAGATACTAGTAAGACATAACAACTAAATGCAATGTGGGATCTTAAATTGAATCCTGAAGCAGGAAAAAAAATTTTTAATGGACAATACTAGGACAGCTGGCAAAATCTGAATAAAGACTGTATTTTAGAGTACTGTGTGAAACTCCCAAATTCTAAAAAAAAAGTTTGTTTTTTGAGACAGTGTCGCAGTCTGTTGCCCAGGCTGAAGTGCAGTAGCACAATCTCAGCTAACTGTAACCTCCGCCTCCCAGGTTCAAGTTATTCTTGTGCCTCAGCCTCCTGAGTAGCTGGGATTACAGACATGTACCAACACACCCGGCTAATTTTTGTATTTTTAGTAGAGACGGGGTTTCACCATGTTGGCCAGCCTGGTCTCAAATCCCTGGCCTTAAGTAATCTGCCCGCCTCAGCCTCCCAAAGTGCTGGGATTACAGGCATGAGCCACAGCACCTAGCTCAGATTCTGAAAATTAAGAATTATCTTGTGGTTATGAATGTCCTTATTGTTAGGAAATACATACTGAGGTATTCAGGAATAAAACACCTGATGTCTGGCACCTTATTCTAAAATGGTTCAGAAAAAAATTACATGAATAACGGAAAAACGAGAAACCAAATGCAATTAAAAGTTAGTAACTGGTGAATTCTTACAACTTTTCTGTAAATTTAGATGTATTTCAAAACAAGAAGTTAAAAAGTCAAGAAGCAAAAATGTAAAGAACAGTATTTTTCATCGCACCAATACTATTAGCCGCATATATGATGCTGGAGAAGCTGCTGAAATTCTAAATTATTCTAAGATACATAAGCTGTCAAATGAAGTAGATATAAACGATCACACTTTCTCATTAAAAACTTCAACAAGTAAGTCTACTTTAGGAAAAAAGGTTAGAGTAAAATCTCTCTAACTGCAAATGACACAAAAGAAACCTGTTTATAATATCAAAAATCAATGGTTGACAACAGTGAGATAACACTTCATACTTCTTGGATGGCTACAATCAAAAAGACATATAATACTAAGTGCTGGTAAGGACACGGAGAAATCCGAACCCTTATACCCTTCTGGGGGAAATGTAAAATGGTGCAGCTCCTTTGGAAAATTCTGGCAGTTCCTCAAAAGGTTAAATACAGTAACCATATGACCCAGCAATTAATTCCACTCCTAGATACATACCAAAGAGAAATGAAAGCATTTGTCCACACCAAGACTTGTACACGAATGTCAGGAGTATTTGTAATAGTCAAAAAGTAGAAACAACCCAAATATCCATCAATGATGAATGGATAAATGATATGTGGCATGTCCATACAAGGCACTCTTATTTAGCAATAAAAAAGAATGAAGTACTGATACATGCCACAATGTGGATGAATTCTGAAAACATTATACTAAGTGAAAGACACCAGTCACAAGAGACTACACATTATCTAATTCCATTTAGTACAAAAGTCCAGAGTAGGCAAATCTAGAGAGAAGGAACACACAGACAAATGTTTGGGTAGGGCTAGAAACAGGAAAGGAGGCGACTGCTAGATGTTATGAAGTTGCTTTTTGGGATGATAATGTTCTAAAGTTAACATTTTAGTAAAATTTGCACAACTCTGTGGATAAACTAAAAAACAATGAATTATACACTTTAAAAGGGCAGAATTTATGATATGTACACTATGTCAATAAAGCCATTAGAGAAAGAGTTAAAAAAAAAAAAATAAAAGGCCGGGCACGGTGGCTCAAGCCTGTAATCCCAGCACTTTGGGAGGCCGAGACGGGCGGATCAGGAGGTCAGGAGATCGAGACCAGCCTGGCTAACACGGTGAAACCGTCTCTACTAAAAATACAAAAACTAGCCGGGCGAGGTGGCGGGCGCCTGTAGTCCCAGCTACTTGGGAGGCTGAGGCAGGAGAATGGCGTATACCTGGGAGGCAGAGCTTGTAGTGAGCTGAGATCCGGCCACTGCACTCCAGCCTGGGTGACAGAGCGAGACTCTGTCTCAAAAAAAAAAAAAAAAAAAAGGCATGGCTGTAAAACCCTATTGATCTAACCCAAAGACTTAACAGTATTAAAATGTCCAAAATTATGTGAGGGGTATATTCTCTTATGCAATGAAGAAACCAGTTATTTCTATCCTTTAAGATTACTATTTCTCCTCATACACATCACTTCTTTTTTTTTTTTTTTTTTTTTTGAGACGGAGTCTCACGCTGTTGCCCAGGCTGGAGTGCAGTGGCGCGATCTCGGCTCACTGCAAGCTCCACCTCCCGGGTTCCCGCCATTCTCCTGCCTCAGCCTCCTGAGTAGCTGGGACTACAGGCGCCCGCCACCGTGCCCGGCTAATTTTTTGTATTTTTAGTAGAGACGGGGTTTCACTGTGGTCTCGATCTCCTGACCTTGTGATCCGCCCGCCTCGGCCTCCCAAAGTGCTGGGATTACAGGCTTGAGCCACCGCGCCCGGCCACACATCACTTCTTTACACCAATACTCACTAAGACCCTCTTTTATAATGATGCATTGATTGTGATAAAACCCGTCGCTGGCTCTCCCCAGTCAACCCCAAAGATATATTACACAAATCAAACCTGAAGCCAAAATCATAATTTAACCAAAAAAATCCAAAGATTATTTTTCACAAAGGACAGACATCACTGATTTATAATCTGGATGACAAAATAAGTACCAAGTTGCTTAACTTAAGTATAACGTACACTCCAAGCTTAATGAGGTGATGTTTTACAAAAGACATTCTGGAAACTGCAAAGGATTTTGAGTGAAAAATAAAATGTCTTACTCCTATTAAAAAGTAGTATATTTAGAATACAAACCTGCAGTAATATACTGCGCTGAAGCCATTTCCCCTGAAGCTCTTAAGGCACCTGCATACCTAGGAACATTAAAGCAGAGTTAAATAATAGAATTCAGTTCATTCTAACACTCAAATGGGAAGCAGCCAGTTAAAAGGAGTTATTACGACACCCTCAACTGCAAGTCCCGCGGAGTTGTTCCCACCTTTCCTTTTCTTCTCTCCTGGTCTTGCATTATATGGAGAAAAAAAGGAATGCTGAAAAGGGAATTTAGATGGAGACTACTTTAAGCTCCTTCCCTTTGTCAAACGCATATAAAACAAACATTTTATTTTATTTTTTATTTTTTGAGACAGAGTTTTGCTCTTGTTGCCCAGGTTGGAGTGCAATGGCAAGATCTCGACTCACTGCAACCTCTACCTCTTGGGTTCAAGCAATTCTCCTGCCTCAGCCTCCCGAGTAGCTGGGATTACAGGCGCACGCCACTATGCCCAGCTAATTTTTTTATTTCTAGTAGAGACAGGGTTTCACCATGTTGGCCAGGTAGTCTCGAACTCCTGACCTCAGGTGATCCACCCACCTCAGCCTCCCAAAGTGCTGGGATTACAGGCATGAGCCACTGCACCCAGCTAAAACAAGCATTTTCTCAAAGTACTGTGAAACAAAACTATCCATTAATTACAAAGAAAATAAAATAACACAATCTCTGAAATAACTTGGAAGAAATAAGCATTAGATCAAAAACATTCAGCATTAGCTTGCTGTGTATCGTTAAATAGGTCACTTAAGGTTTCAGGTCAGTTTGCTCATCTGAAAACTGAGGAGCTTCTATTAAATGATTTCTAAATTCACTTTCAGCTTTATGATCCTCACTTAATTTACAAACTGGCCATGCAAAGGAAATATTCAAACCGCAGTCATTACTCACACAAAGTCTTATGACAAAAGCTCAGAAATTATCATTCAGTTAATATCAAACATTGAAGTAGGAGGGAGACTGCATATGCACTATGATTAAACTATGTGTACACACTATACACCCATTAGAGTGATTAAAATTAAAATTTAAAAAAAACTAGTATCACCCAATATTGGCAAGAATGTGGAGCAATCAGAATTACTGATCTAGTCAATAGTAATATGAATGGATCTCCAAGCTAGATACGGAGTGAAACAAGCCAGAACAAAAGAAAAGCACAACCTGTAGGATTCCATTTATTTTACGTTTCAGAATGTGCAAACTAATACGAAATCAGTAGTTAATGGAAGTGGGTGGAGAGGATAAGGATTAACTGAGAAAAGGCACACACAAGAATTTTCTGAGATAATAGAAATGTTCTATACTTTGACAGGCAAATGGATTACAGAGAATTTGCATTTGTCAAAACTGATCAAACCAAACACTTAAGATATATGCATTTCACTAGATGGGAATTATATCTCAATTTAAAAAGCAAAACCTCTATGCTTAGGTAGTATGAAAGAAATCACAGAAAGTATTGTGTTAAATTGTATTCAACTGAAGGGTTTTGTTTTTCCCTTTTTCATTTGTTTGCATCTTTCGGAAACTGCTGTGACTAAACAAACTTTCTTAATTTTTCAATAAACAATAATTCACAATAATGCCTGAATTATGTGTGTTAATTTTTAAAAACCTGAAAATCATTAAATTTCCCTGTTAATACATTTTAGCAACTTCTTGAAAGGCATTTTTGAAATTAAAATGAAGTACTAATATAGCAGACATATCCCAGAACATCACTTGGGAATGTAATTAGCTATATAATTGCTGCTGTTACTGAATTTTACTTCTTGTTATAGGGTAACATGAATATGTAACTATTTCTACATTTATGGCAAAGATAACTAATGAATTATCAACCTTTTTTTTGTAACTAAGAAAAGTCATATGTAATTTAATATCCAAAAAACACTTCCCATATTACAGCAATAAAATGTAATTCCTAATTAATGTAAAACCATCTATTAAGCCAAATAACATTAACACTGAAGTTTATAAAGAAAAACTTAGAAAAAGAGAAACTGACAGAAATACTGAGAGGTTTTACAGTCAAAAGTACTGAGAATCTTTCCTTATCTCTGTCAAGTCGATATATTAAAAGTACTGATATAAAAAATCTGAACATAATAAAATTAACCTAATGTCTATTATACTTTGACACCTACAAAGAGAGGACATTTTGACTTTTCTAGTCCCCATAAAATATTCAATCATACATCAGATCAAAAAGACAAACTCAAATTTCCAAAATAGGCCAAATCCTTACCCATGGTGAAATAAAATACATTTATAACATATGCTTTCATATATGCGTTTCTAAATCCACTGGCTAAGTAACTTGGCTTAAACTCTTGGGGGTGGATGTGGAACAAATGAAAAGCACATATAATGCTAATGAAAATACAAATTGGTATCTCCGTTTATAAAACTGGTTGGCAAAACATATCAAAACTGAATATATACATCCCTTTATGACCCAGCAGTTTCACTCATATATATTTTGTGCATATGCATACATACTCATATACACCCAAGAGAAACAAATGCATGTGCCCAAAAATGTACTAGAATATTCAGAGCATATTTTTTCATAATCACCAAAAACTGAACATAAACCAAATATTTATCGACAGAAGAATGGATGACAAATTGGTAGTATAGCACACAATGGAATACTATACAGCATGAATAGAAATGAACCACCAATACACAGAACATGGATACACTAAACATCACGAGCCAGACCCATTAGCCAGTCATCAGCCAGACAAATGGGCCCAGTTTGTACACTTCTGTTCACAAAGAGTTCAAAATTGGTAAACTGATCTATGAGATTAGAAGTCAGGATAGTATTTCCAATTTGGAAAACATAAACAGTGGTAGTGATTAAGATCTGTGAGGGGATTTTTAGAGTGCTGGAAGGGTTCTGCCTTTATTTTGGGTACATGGATGTGTTCACCCTGGGACAATTCATTGAGCTGTACACTTACAATCTGTATACTTTCTGCATGTTATAATTCAATAATCAAAAATAAATGGGCCAGGCGTGGTGGCTCATGCCTGTAATCCCAGCACTTGGGAGGCCGAGGCAGATGGATCACGAGGTCAAGAGATCGAGACCATCCTGGCCAACATGATGACACACTGTCTCTAATAAAAATACAAAAACCAGCTGGGCGTTGTGACACGTGCCTGTAGTAGTCCCAGCTACTCATGAGGCTGAGGCAGGAGAATCACCTGAACCCAGGAGGCGGAGGTTGCAGTGAGCCGAGATCGTGCTACTGCACTCTGGCCCGGAGGTAGAGTGAGACTGTCTCAAAAAAACAAAAAACAAAAAACAAAAACTGGGCTAAAAGGAAAAGATAACAGACTTTCTAGTGGTTTTTGTTAACATTTGAACAGCCTCATCTAACAAATAGAGAACAAGCAAAATCTCAGAACTAAATGCTTTCATTACTACACAAGAGTAAGTAAACAATCCAAATATGAAACTTTAAGTTAGAAAATAGACAATAAAACAAGCCTAAGGTAAACAGAAATAAGAAAAACATAATACAAAAAGTAGGATGAATCAGACAAATCAAAAAATTGAATGAACAAATCTAATAGCCAATTCTTTGAAAGCTAAAATACAAATCTCTAGCAAGATAACACAAACAAAGGGAGGAAAACACAAATAAAACAAATAAAAAATAAAAATACAAAAAAAAAATACAGGTCCAATGGTAGAATAACTCTTAAGCTGAAATAATTTAAAGACAGGACAATTTTGTAGGAAAATATAAATTCCCAAAACTAACTTTAGAAGAGAATAAGTACATTTAAAATACCCCAAAGGCCAAGCACAGTGACTCGCGCCTGTAATCTTAGCCCTTTGGGAGGCCAAGGCCGGGGGATCACCTGAGGTCAGGGGTTTGAGACCATCCTGGCCAACGTGGTGAAACCACATCTCTACTAAAAATACAAAAAATTAGCTGGGCGTAGTGGCGGATGCCTGTAATCCTAGCTGCTTGCGAGGCTGAGGCAGGAGAACCGCTTGAACCCAGGAGGCGGAGGGTGCAGTGAGCCAAGATCACGCCACTGCACTCCAGCCTAGGCAACAGAGCGAGACTGTCTCAAAATAAAATAAAATAAAATAAAATACCCCAAAAAAGCTGAGTGCAGCCAATTTCATGGGCAAGTCTTTCAGCAGCAGATCAGTCCTATAAAAATATGAAAGAAAACAAAAGTTCCAGGAAAAGACGGACATAGAACTAGCATAACTCTAACACCAAACCCTCACAAATCAAAAAAAAAAAAAAAAAAAAAAAAAAAAAAAAAACCGGCCAGAGGGAGACAGAATGCTATACATCAGTCTTAGTAACAAATGACCCCAAACATCCTTTTAAAATGTTCCAGCAAATTAAATTCAGCACTATATATTGAAAGAATACGAATGCATCAGGAATATAGTCTATTAGGCTAACTATTAACCTAATGTATCACAAATAGATCCAGTAAGAAAAATCTTAGAACTAGGTCAACAAACAACATTTGACAAATTAACATATATTTCTTATTTTTAAAACATCTCCAGTAAACAAATGATGGAGGAATACTTTCTTAACATTCTTAAGAATATTTCCACCAAACCTGAGAGGAGGACAAGAAGAAAAAAAAAAAGAAAAAAAGAATATTTCCACCACATGCAAGGTCAATATTTAACCCTAAAACACAACAATCTTATTAAAATCAAAAACAAGAGAATTCCACAACCATCTACTATTTAACACTATGTTAAAAGTTCTAGCCAGTAAAACACAAAAGAAACACGAAGTAAACTGCCTGAAATAGACAATACTAACCTGAGTAATGGATTTGATTACCTATTTAGAAAATCCAAATATTAATAGAAAATAGGTCTTATTTCCTCATAAATATAAATATCATAAATAAATCATAATCATAAGTATCATCATAAATAAAATGTGTTTTCAGGGTAAATAAATGTGTTTTCAAGGTAAATAAAAAGTATATTAAAATTTTCAAAGAATATAAGGTATTTCAGTATTAGGGGAA